TCGTCGATGTCTTCTATTTTTGGGGTTCAATCCTTGGGTTGATATCCTTAGTGTATTTCCATATTCCACTTCGTCGTCGCGCGTCGTCGATGTCTTCTATTTTTGGGTTTCAATCCTCATAAATTTGGATTTTATTATTTTTTTTTTTTCGGCTAGCGGTGCCGCTATGAGCCACATAAATTATTTTATTTAACTACGGCTGGCGATATCGCCTTGTAGAGTCGAATAAATTATTTTATAAAAATTTTTAATTATTTTTCGGTTGGCGGTATCGCCTTTTAAAGCCAATAATTTTTATTTATTTTATGAGCCTGGCAGGATCGCCATATAGCAAATAATAAGTTATTGGTTGGAGTTTGATCACCAATTGGTTTACTTTATTGATTTCACTTTCTTTTATACCAAATTCTTACACTAACACTTACAAATTATTTACGAACTAGAATGTATACAAATATACTACTAATACCTACAAACTAACTACATAACTCTAAAATATGCTAAGTCAACATATGGTTGCAATAAATATATAAATATGTCAGTCGCATTGACAAACTGACGTTGTGGATCAGTTAGTCACTGCGACTGTCTTTGGCGGTGTCTTTGACCGTCCGCACAAGTGTAACAAGATCCTCGCTATGTGCGATGAATGCAGTCTTTGCATAAACTCCCGCTGAGTTCAATGTAACTGATTTGGGTAAACTGTTGTTTGTGTACATTCCTATTTGTTTATACATTACTTATGTGCACATGACAATTAAAGTAAAAAGGGCGATGTGCTTATGCTACAGGACAATGCCACTCATATTTGACTTACAAACAAAATACGGGCAGGAATTTCAAGATTTCAACCCTGTTTTTATGAAACATTTTATTTTTATCAGTATTTTTCTTTTAATCAAAATATGTTGAAATAAAAGTAAAACTAAAACAAAAATTTGCAATTTAGGAGATTGTTGTAACTATTAACTTGAAATAAATTAGCGTCCTCAGCTATTGAAATAAGCGGGTGTAATTTTAGTCCGATTTGAATAATTTTCAACAAATTGGTTTTCCGTACTAAGGTTATTCAGTGCACCGAATTCGGTAGAAATTGATAAATCGGTTAACGAGGTACACATTTGTGGTCATAAGTGGGCGGCGCCACCCCCATTATCCAAAAATTTATAATATTATAATTTTCTGCTAAGTGGTTATTGCACTCATCGATTTTATATGAATTAACTTCAGTAGTTACTGATTTATCGCAGTTTTCGTGTTTCCGTTAAATGGCAGGTGGGCGTGGTAATTGCCCGATTTCAAAGATTTTCAACAGTGAAGATAGAGGATATTGAATATAAGCCCTCGAAAAGGTGATATAACCTTCCTGGCTTAAATTAAAGCTAGAATTCTCGACTACTATCTCTGAAAAGAGATCTTAAACTATTTTTTACCATTCATATCTTATCTTTGTATGTATATTTCCCTGCAACAGGGGGCTTTTGAACCCCCAAAGTCCGCTTATTCATTGCCAGCATAGTATGACAACTCACCCAGATTAAGGAGACCCTACTTTGGGCGGCTAGATAATTGAGTGCACTCTATAAGGGTTTTTGATGAGAACGAATGGCTATCTAGAGCTTTGAGGACAGATTGGCTGTCCGAAAGTGTGGAGATTTTTGTTCTGGCATATTGTGTGTTTATTAAGACGTTGGCTGCAGTGTTGACATTTTGGTACTTTTAGAGCTAGATTTAGCCCTTTATTTTTCTATTTAGCTCCGAAAATCGGGTTTTAGCTCCTAGTTCTTTTTTTAGCTCTTTTCAAA